CCTCCTGAGTAGCTAGAATTACAGGCATGAGCCTCCAGCACTGGTCAGACTAAATTTTTCATGGCCTCAAATCCACAGCTAGTGCCTAACACAGTATTGATATCTAGAATGTGTTAAAAAAATATTTGTTAAGTTGGGTGCTGGTGGCTCACATCTGTAATCCTAGCTACTCAAGAGGCTGAGATCTGAAGATCGTGGTTCAAGGCCAGCCTGGGCAGGAAAGTCTTCAAGATTCTTATCTCCAAATAACCACCAGAAAACTAGAAGTGATGCTGTGGCTCAAGTAGTAGAGTGCTCACCTTGAGCTGAAGAGTTCAGGGATATCGCCCAAGTTCAGAGTTCAAGCCCCACCACCACCACCACCAAAATAAAATAATTTGTTGATGCCAGCTGTGGTGGCTCATGCCTATAATCATAGTTCCTCAGGAGGCTGAGATCTGAAGATTATGAGTCAGTGCCAGCCCAGATAAGAAAGTCTAGGAGACTCTTATCTCCATTTAACCACCAAAAAGCTGGAAGTGTAGCTGTGACTCATATGGTAGAGCACTAGCCTACCCTTGAGTGAAGAAGCTCAGAGACAGCACCCAGAGAGTTGAGCTCAAGCCCCAGTACCAGCACACACACATATACAAATAGACATATTTTTTTAATTAGTTGAGTGCCAGTGAGTCAGGACTGTAATTGATTTGAGAGCACCCAGAGCAAAATCCTTTGTACCTCCACCTATCTCCACTTGTAGCTGGAATCGCTGGGTGTGGTGGCATGCCACTATCATCCTCATTAAGTGGGAGGCTGAGATCAGGAGGATTGTGGTTCCAGGACAGCTTAGGCTAAAATGTCTTGAGATCTCATCTCAACAGCAAAAGCTGGGCATGGTGGTGCATTCTAGCTTGCAGTCCCAGATACTGATGGAAACATAAAGTGGGAGAATCATGGTCTTAACTGGCCAGGACAAAAAAAATAATCCCTATCTCAAAAATAACTAGAATAAAAATGGATAGAGGAACTGGGTGCCACTGACTCAGCCTGTAATCTATCTACTCAGGAAGCTGAGATCTGAAGATAGAAGTTCCCAGCCAGCCAGGTTAGGAAGTTCTGTAAGATAAAGAAATTTTCCCTGAGATTCTTATCTCCAATTACCCACCAAAAAAGCCAGAAGTGAAGCTGTTGCTCAAGTGGTAGAGGGCTAGCCTTGAGCAAAAAATAAAAGCTCAGGGATGATTCAAGCAGTAGGACCCTAAGTTCAAACCCCAGTACCCCCCCCAAAAAAAAGAAGTCTTGTTTCATTTTGTCCCCCCCTCCTTTGGCAGCACACATTAACCCCCAATTTAGAGTGAAGAGGTGCTGGATAGGTTTGAGAACATGTAAAGCAAAGGAGGAAAAACTGACCATCAGATAGTGGTTGATAAGATCTTGAAAAAAAGCAAAGTGTTAAAATTGTGCAAGTTTCAAATTGTGAAGAAACTGAAATGCCAAAGGCTTGTGACAAAAAAAAAAAACACCAAAAACCTAAGACAAAAAAATAAAAACCTAAGACACTGACTACCTTAAAATAAATGTGTATATATATATATAAATAATAAAATAAAATAAATGTATATATATTTAAAAAATGTAAGGGGCTGGTGACTCAGTGGTAGAGTGTTTGCCTTGCAGGCATGAGGCCCTGGGTTTGATTCCTCAGTACCACATAAGCAGAAAAAAAAAGCCGGAAGTGGCGCTGTGGCTCAAGTGATAGAGCGCTAGCCCTGAGCTGAAGAGCTGAGGGACAGTGCCCAGGCCCAGAGTTCAGGCCCACTACCGGGACCAAAAAAAAAAAAAAAAAGATGTGACAAACCAGAAAAAATACTTACCAAGTTTTTGACAAAGGACTAATTTCTTTTTCTTTCTTTTTTTTTGTGGTGCTGGGGATTGAAACTAGGGCCTTGGGCATGCTAGGCAAGCACTGTATGACTGAACTACATCTCTAATGAATTTTTTAATACATAAAGGACTATTGAAAGTACATTAAGAAAAAAGAGGGGTGAGCTGTAGCTCATTGTCAGAGCACTTGCCTAGAGTGTGTGAAGCCCTAGGTTTGATCTCCAGCACTTTACACTCCCACAAAGGAAGGAAGGAAGGAAGGAAGGAAATCAACCTGAAAAATTGGCTTCATTCTCACTCATAATCAAAGAAATGTAAATTAAAACTCAAGTAATACCATATTTCACCTACTCAACTGAACCAGCAATTCTGGTTTTTTTTCTTTTTTTTTTTTTGGTCGGTAGTGGGGCATGATCTCTGGGCCTGGGCACTGTCCCTCAGCTCTTCAGAGCGAGCACTCTACCACTTGAGCCACAGCACCACTTCGAGTTTTCTGGTGGTTAATTGGAAATAAGAGTCTACTGGACTTGCGGAGCCAGGCAGGCACTGGTGGCTCACGCCTGTAATCCTAACTACCCAGGAGGCTGAGATCTGAGGATCACGGTTCAAAGCCATCTCGGGCAGGAAAAATCCATGAGAGTCTTAACTTCAATAAACCACCAGAAAACCGAAAGTGGTGCTGTGGCTCAAGTGGTAGAGTGCTCTCCTTGAGCTGAAGAGCTGAGGGACTGCGCCCAACCCCAGAGTTAAAGTCTGACAACCACATAAAACAAAACAAAACAAAAAACGAATAAAGTGGATCCGTCTGTACTACTTAAAGAATGCTATTCTAGATAACACTATTAAGGGAAAAAACCTAGGTGTAGAGGAGTTTATAATCTGCTGTCCTGTTTTTAAGGTAAGATAGTGAATACCAGAAACTCACTTATGTTTGAGGATTAGGAAGAATGGATCTCTGGGAAGATAACTCAGGGACTGATAGTGGTTGTCTCTGGGAAAGAGAAATGGGGAGCTGGGATGGTGGGTTGTTGACTGCTTGTCTTTTTCTTTTTTTTTTTTTTAACAATGTGTATTGCCTTCATAAAAAACAATAAAAATATGAAAAGCTTTTTTTTAAGAAGGCAGTATTCTCATAATGTGTGTTAATGCTACATCCAGATCCATAGATGGTTCTTGCAACCCTCTGACTTGGTATCCAGGTAGTGGAGAGCAGAATCTGGATCTGTATTGCCTCCTTGGGGGTTCTGATTCATCTAGAGAAGTTTGAGTCTGCCAGCTCAGAGGACAAGGAGTGGGGGCCATGGGAGTCAAGGCTGTTAGAGGGGAAGATTCTAGAAAGGATGGTTGTTCCATTTCACCAAGCCAGCATGGTCAGGACACATTGCCCCTGTGGCAGGGTAAGCAAGGTCATTGGTATTTTGGAAGCATTTAAAGTGTGGATAAGTCATGAATAAATTAAATTTCAGGAGCCTTGGTGTAGACTAAGTGCCCATATGAGCTGTCCCCCTACTTTGCCTCTGCTTAGCTGTCCCAGGCTCTGGTCTCCATATTAGAGTTCCTCTTGGCCTTCATGTGCGGTGTTGCCATTGTCCAGAATGTTCATCCCTATAACAAGGTTTTACTCATCTTTCAGTTCCCTGGTTAAAGGTCATTTCCTCCATGGAAACTGTCCCCAAACTGCAACCTCGTCACATTCCCTCTCTCACATTCTCATAGCTCCTATACTTCTGGGGACATAGGGAACATAATTCAATAACTAGAGAATGACTCAATGTTTATTTCTGTTCCCTATGGCACATCATAGGCTCAAACCAAGATTTGCTCATGGAATGAGCAATAAATGGAACCTTAAGAAAAATGGAGAACAGGAGAGTTAAGAAAGGGTAATTGAATTGGGCATGGATGGCTCACTCCTAAATCCTATCTACTCAGGAGGCTGAGATCTGAGGACCAAGGTTCCAAGCCAGCTGCTAGAGATGTATCTCTTCTCAGCAATTAACCACCAAAAAGATACGAAGGTTGGGGCTGGGAAGGTGGCTCAGTGGTAGAGCGCTTGCCTTGCATGCATGAGGCCCTGGGTTCGATTCCTCAGCACCACATAAGCAGAGAAAAAAAGCTGGAAGTGGTGCTGTGCTCAAGTGGTAGAGTGCTAGCCTTGAGCTGAAGAGCTGAGGGGCAGCGCCCAGGCCCAGAGTTGAGGTCCCACAACCGGACCCCCCCCAAAAAAAAGATGTGAAGGTGTAGCTCAAATGGTAGAGGGGGCAAATACCTGATAAAATCCCTTGGCACAATTAAAAAAGAGATCACCTGTAGGCCCAACAGGGCCTGACTAAAGTGTTGCCAACTCCTTCCTGTCCAGTCTGGAGCTTTGGTCAGGCCTGTATTTTTTTTCTTTAAATTATTATTATTATTGTCAGTTCTGGAGCTTGAACTAATGGCATGGGTGCTGTCCTGGAGCTCTTGCTCAAGGCTAGTGCTCTACCACTTTGAGTTTCACAACCATTTCTGGTTTTCTGGTGGATTACAGCTAACTCTCATGGATTTTCCTACCTGGGCTGGTTTTGAACAATTCTCAGATCTCAGCCTTCTGAGTAGCTAGGATTACAGGCGTGAGCCACCAGTGCCTGGCCTCAGTCTTAATACAAGTCATGGGAACATCTTTAAGATACTGGTCCTAGAACTTGGGCCTACTGCAGCATGACAACGCATGACTCCTGGTTACCCATGGCCTGGGCTTCTGGCAGCGTCTGCCTGGTGAGGCATGCAAATATGGTTCCACTGAGTCCCAACAGTGCACTGCTTGAGCAATCATAAAGAACAGTAGAAACAAACCCAAGTGGGTCAAGCCACAGTGAGGTTATGTGTGATAGCCTGCTTTGCCCAACTCCAGGGAGCACCTCGTGTGCAGGGAAGTTAGTTATTCCTCCTGCCGATGGCTTACATTTACTTTGTGGTTGTACCCTTGAGTGTGGACTGACTAAATCAAGTTTCAATGTTTACCTTAGAACACCGGCAACTGCACAATCATTCAATAAGCATTTATTGATAGTCAGTGTCAGGTGCCCTGTGGTACAGAAAAGCCCCGATGAACATTATACACATCTTAAATGCTACAGAAACACAGCAACACACACTCATACCTATTAAAAGGTTTATTTTCTTCTGTATGTTCAGAAACAAAGAAATGGCCTTGTCCCCACCAGGCCTCATGTTGAAGGAATAGCAGGCAGAGATGGTGTCAGGAGGGGGTGTGCTGGCATGAGGGTGAATGTAGGGGTTCTTTCTCCCCCATTTCCTATCCTTGTTTTCAGTGGCCCCCTGTAAAACATTTAGGTGTAAACCCAGCCTGCCACCCTATCCTGTGTAAGGGGGAAACAGAGCTGTGTGTAGTCAAAAGATGAATGCCCAGTTTGAATGAGCGATGAGTCCAGTGTGTATCTTGGGGAGGGAGCCGAGGGGTTAGCTGAGGAACCTGCTGGATGGAGAGGAAGGAGGGGAAAAAAATGGGACAACTCCCCACCCCTCTCACAGTGGGATCTTGGTCCTGCCCCTACCTCTCCCAGCACCATCTTCTCCCTTCTTCTAGCCCCCCTTCCTAGCAGAACTGGTCATCATAGTCGTCATCCTTCATCCCCTTCAGCCGAAGCCGGGCAAAGTCCTCAAACACAATGTCGTCATCTGTGGCATAGCTTGGTGGTAGAAAGGATGGGAGGTGAAGGCAGCTGATACTTCTGTTCAGCCTCCCACTCCACCCTCATCCCGAGGACAGAGAAGTGTGGTCAAAAAGCATCCAGGGGGGGTTGCAAGCAGACAAAAAGAACAGGAGTGGGTCGTCTCATAAAGCTAGGTCCGACCTTACACATCACCACCCTGCCCCCGACCCGTCAAAGAAACAAAACTCTCCAGGAAGTAGCAGAGTGGATTTGAATGTTACTGGAATCTATCCAAAGAGGGTCAAAGTAGGAAGGTAGGGTGTGCTTTCTTACTTGGTGTCAAATTCAATGAGGTTGGTATCCACAGGGACGTCTGTCTCCAGAGCGGCTGGGGGAAGGGAAGAGGGTGGGTGGGCAGGCACTGGAAGGACCAGAGTTATTTATTTATTTATTTTTGCCCACTAGCCCTGCTTCCGGCCTCCCCTGCAGGGCTGGGGGTGGGTAGAAAGCTCACCTGTCTGGGGTCTGACAAGGGTGATATGGTCATGAGGCTTTGGGTGCATTAGAACAAAAGGCAGCTCCACTGAGACATCCCTGGGGAGGGGGAGAGGCTGCGTGAAGATGACAAGGACTAGGTGGAATCAGAACCACTGTGGGTCCCCCACCCCCACACAGCTGGCTCTCCCATCACACTTACCCGCCTCGAGACACCACCAGTTTCACTTTGACCCTATAGGACACCAGGATCCCCAGCACCTCCTTGTTGGCACCCTCCTTCACACTGCAGTTGGGGGCAAGGGGACCTGAATCAGCTCCCTCTGTCAACCAGCTCTCCCCTGAGACGCCCATCAGGATTCTGAGCAAGATGACTACCTCATCTAGGCACTGGTGGCTTAAGCCTGTAATCTTAGCTACTCGGGAGGCTGCAATCTGAGGACTATGGTTCAAAGCCAGACAAGGCAAATGAAGTCCATGAGATTATCTCCAATTACCCAGCAAAAAGCCAGAAACAGAGATGTGGCTCAAGTGGTAAAGCACCAGCCTTGATTGGAAAAAACTAAGCTAGAGCGCTTTAGTCCTGAGTTCAAAATCTAGAACTAGCAAAAAGAAAAAAAACAACTACAAGCTCTCACTAGACCCTGGAGCTCTAAAACAGCAGCAATGCAGCCCTGCCAGTAGAGGTCACCTTGGGGTTCCCCTGTTCAGAACCTCCTGGAGCCTCATCTGTAGCAGCATCACTTGAGTCCTGACCTGACAGCCATATACGTGCTGTTCCATCACCTCCTACTTCTCTGTGGTTCCTGCTCACCACGCTGGCCTCCAGGCCTGCTTTGCAATTGTGTAGTTGTTTCCAGTATCATGGCATCAGATGAGGAGGGGCGAGAGCCAGCCCTTGTGAAGGTCTGGACCTCTGGGGCTGCTCATGCCTAATTGCACAATAGCCCCTTGCAATTCCTCAGCCCCTCAGGGGCTTATCCTGTCTGTCTTCCTGGAACCTTCTTCCCCTACACATCCCTCCTGACTTCATCATTCACCTTCCCTGGCTACCCAGGGAAATCAACATCCCCCCACTCCTCTGCCCTCTGTATGTTTTACCACTTTTATCTGATCGTCTAGCCTCCCTCCTCTACAATGTGTGAGTCTGTCTCTTCTGTTCACTGATATGTCCTTGGCACTTCAGCCGCCTCAGCCCCAGGCTCACATAGTGCTGGAAGCCAGGTTGGTGTCTTCATGCTTGAGCTTCCCATCCAGCGCAAGGCCACGCTTCTCCCGGTTGTCGCTGAGCAGCGGAGTGATAGTGTACACCTTACAGAATGTGGAGCTGGGGGATACCTGGTCACTGAGAGGTTGGGGACAAGTTAGACAAGACTTTTGGAGGGGCTGGGCTGAGTGAGGGGGTAACCTACCACCTGGAAACAATATTACCTCCCTCAATGGCCCCTGGGGCAGAGATTACAAGGGTTTGGCTCTGCCTACTCAAGGATACTTAGTAGCTCAGAGCCAACTGATTGTAGGGGAGACATCTTTGGAAGGGAAATCACTCAGGGAGGAATCTAGCCACCACCTCACATTCTCCCCTTAGCTTGGGACCCGCAATTGTCCCAAGTTCTGGGAATACTCACTCCTGCTCAAGCTGTGCCACAGGACATTTGTACTGTGCAGTGCTGAAGAGGCAGATGTCGGCATACTGTCTCACTGTGGGACAGGGGCATCAAAGAGCTCTAGATGGAGCACAGACTACACAGGGCTAACTCTAGGTCCTGTAGTTATATGATAGGAGCCTGACCCCCCCACACACACCCCGCACACCCCTCCCTCCTACCCCTGACACACAGCCTTCCCCACAGTAATTGCCAGGGCCTGCATATCATTCTTGAACAGTCTTAAAATCTCTCCATAGGTTTTACATACTGGGTTATGGTCTGAGTTGAGACTGCAGTGGTAGTCACTTATGCAGGGGTCCCTCCCTCTCCCTCCCCTATCCTTCTCCCCCACCTCCTACCAGAGACTCTGATCTTCTTGACGGTCTTGGCAGAGTTGTTAGTGACGTGGACATTGACATTGAGGGGCTCCCCGTGGTAGTACAGCTTTTGAAGGGAGGGGAGGGGTCACTGTTGGAACTGTTTTTTTTAAACTGGTCCCATTCTTGGGGTGTTCCATTCCACTAGCTTAAGCCCATAGTGATTCCACACCCACCAAGGCAAACTATCATCTTGCTTGATTTGAGGCTTTCCCCTCCCCCTAGGATCTGGCCTGCTTGTGGCATAGGTGTCACCCATTGGATCCCCACCTCCTTGTCCAGGGAGGCCTCAAGGTGCAGGGATCGGTCAGACATGAGGAAGTGGCGTGTGGTTTCAGCTGAAGGTTGGGGGCCGGGTTTCTCTGGGGCAAACTGCACCTTTCGGATCACTAGTCGGACAGAGTTCCTAGGAGAGAGGTTGGGGGTAGAGGTAGGGCTCAATTCCTAGGCATTCTGACTTCAACTCCCACCAGGATCTTAAGATTCTAGCAAGTAGGGAGGAAATGGCGAAATCAGAGGAAGTTATTTCCCTCACCTTTTGTGGCTTTTCTCTTCTAGTGATTTGGCACAGAAGGCTCGAATCTCAAAGTCTACCCCGCAGGCCTCAGGAAGGGGGAAGAAAGGTCACATCTTACCCAATGCTTGGGCTTCCAACTCCACCACTCCCCTTCCTTCCTCTGTCCTTCCCTCCACTCAGGCTGGGACAGAGAATTACTCATGGCAGTGCATGGGGGAGCCCTCAGGTGTTTGCAGTGACCCCACCCACAGATCACACCTCACTGTCTCCAGCCCACCCCCTGCAGTTCACTCTCCAGCTCAGCTGAGCTTTAGGCTTCTGCTGAACCCTGTTCTGCTTCTGTGACTTCAAAATTCTTCCTCCCCATACCTTTCCTGTGTCCTCTGGTCCTGGCTGCAGTGTGACCGAGCAGGGCAGATTCTGGGGTATCTGTGGCAGAAGAAAAGGGAGGTTTGAGTCCCTTCAGAAAATCCCAAATCCTCCTCCCAATCTGTTTAAGGAGCTGGAAGAAGGGCACTTGGAAATGAGACAGGAAGAAGCCAGGGGAGGAATCCTAGGGAAGAGGTTGCCTTGAAGGGACATTTAGGGACATTTCCTCACTTCCTCCCAGGTCTGTCCATAACAAGTAGCTCATACCCTTCAACCCAACCCAGCCCCAGACTTCATGCACTGTGGTGGGTGGGAGACATCCTCACTGTGAAAAAAAAGGGATGGGCATGCTGGCCCAGTTTCCTCAGCAGCCGGTCCTGTAGGCGGGTAGGGGGCCGGGGTGGATTAGGCATTGGGGGGAAGGCCTGGTAGGTAGCGATGAACAGGTCTTTGCGGAAGGACAAGCCCAGCACATCCAGGTCTTCTCGGCCATAGCGGAAGGCGCAGGTGAGGGTCACAAACACTGGCAAAAGAGGTCAAGAGTAGTGCCTTCTTAACCAAGCGCTAGTTACTCATGCCTGTAATCCTAGCTACTCAGGAAGCTGAGATCTGAGGACCACAGTTTGAGGCCAGCCACGCTAGGAAAGTCCATAGGATCCTTATTTCCGATTAACCACTGAACAGTGCAGCTGTAGCTCAAGTGGCAGAGTGCCTAGAGTGAAAAAACCCCAGGATTGGTATGAAGGAAGAGGAGGAAGGAGGGAGGAAAGAAGGAAGATAGAGAAGGAGGAAGGAAGAAGAAGGCAAGCAAGAGTAACCTTATTCCAGATCCCTCCCCTCCCTTAAGCAACACAAGACATTCCTGAATCTTTCTGCCTCAGTACCCCATCTCTCTGGGGCACCAGGTCCATGTCACTTCCCCCCTCCCCTCAGGTTCTTGGACTAGAAGCCAGTACCTTTTCGGTCCTTCAAGTAGTCAGGATCCACCAGCACCACACCATCTAGGGAAGGGGCATATGGGCTCATTTCCCCAATCCTGGGCCCAGGAACTTCATCCCCCATCCCCACCCCCACCCCGTCCCATTGGAGATAAGCTGTTCCTTTCTGGGCAAACTTACCTACAGGATCCACTTTATCCAGATGATCTACAAAATCCCGCTTGCCCAAGTACACAGTGAGCTGAGGGTGTCAAAAGTTAACAGGGAAGATTGGGGAGGATGGTGACCAGGGATCAGAGCCCTCGTAAGCGGCTATCTTGCTTTGGGTTCCCTCGATTGGACTATGGGAAAGGAGATCTTTCCAGTAGCACTGAAAGGTAAGGGTGATGGGGTTTTCCAGACCACCCAGCCAAATTTAGGATTTTTAGCTGCTCCCTTAATGCTCTTCACACCTCAACTCACCAATTGGGTGTGTGGATGTGTGTGTCCTCAGGGATGATTCTGCTGGACCAGCTGGTTAGCAGCTGCCAGCCTTACTAAGTCCCCTCAGGGGCTCATGTATAAACAGGCCATAGCCTAGGGGAGGGGGAAGGGGCTGTTAACTTTTCCCAGCCCCAGGCTGCTAAGAAAGTTATAAGGAACAGGGTTTGCTTCTAGTCCCTTCCCTCCAGTTAAGGATCTAGCCCTGTCCCCATTTGTGGCTGGCTCAGAAGGAGCTGCTTCTGCAGCAAGGGGCTTGAGGAGGGAAGGAAGTGAGATCTTAGCTGTCACAGGAAGTGGGGAGCTAGGGGTTGGAGACTGTCTCATCTGGGGGCAGGCTGAGCTTTGGTAGGGCCTAGGGAGGATCAAAGGGTAAGCCCCATGGGTGACTCACCTTGCAGTTAGGGCTCGACTTCTTGAAGACCCTAACAAAACAGAAAGGGAGACCCCACTGCCTCCCTCAGACTCAGTAGGGTACCCCACACCAGGACTTTACCCCCTCCCACTTTAGAAGCAGAACTCATCCTGGATCCCTGGTTTGAAGCTTTACACCCTCCCAGCTTCTTTCCAGAAGGTCCCTTACATTCCTTCTTTTTCTTCTTTCGTGTGTGTGTGTGTGTGTGTGTGTGTGTGTGCGCGCGTGCGCACGCGCGCGCGCCTGCCAATACTGGAGCCTGAACTTAGGGCCTGGGTGCTTTCCCTGAACTGAACTTCTTTGCTCAAAGCTAGTGCTCAATCACTTGAGCCACACAGCTCCACTTCTGGCTTTTTGCTGATTAAGTGGAGATAAAGAGTTTTACAGACTTTCCTGCCCAGATTGTCTTTGAACTGTGATCCTCAGATTTCAGCCTCCTGAGTAGCTAAGATTACAGGCATAAACCTCCAGGACCTGGCCTCCTTCACGTATCACTAAGCCCCATTCCCAGCCCTCCCTCACATTTCATATACAACACTTCCTGAAGTCACTTGTCAGGGCAAATGCCTCTCTTGTTCTTGGTCCACCCAAACTAGTCCCCCTCCACAGTAATGGCCACCTGTTGCCCCAGGAACCATGCAAGTTCCTCCACCTCCCAGAGCAGACCTAAATGGGGTGGTTGCAATGTCTAGGTCAGATCTAACTATCTTTCCACCTGACCTCCAGTTTCAATGACAGCTGGGGTACATGGAAGAGCAATGGCCTTGACTTTTACCCCTCAAATAATTTCTTTTTTTTTTTTTTTGTCGTGGGGCTTGAACTCTGGGCTTGGGCACTGTCCTTGTGCTCTTCAGCTCAAGGCGAGCACTCTACCGTTTGAGCCACAGCACCACTTCCGGTTTTCTAGCAGTTTATTGGAGATAAGAGTCTCACGAACTTTCCTGCCGGGGCTGGCTTTGAACCTTGATCCTCAGACCTCAGCCTCCTGAGTAGCTAGGATTACAGGCGTGAGCCACCGGCGCCCAGCTTCCTCAAATAATTTCTGTCATAAGTACTACCCAAGTTTGATCTCAATCTATTAACCTCCAATAACCTCACCAGTTTATAAAAGCATCAAATATCTCCTGCTTTTGGATGTAGAGCCAACCTAGATTCTAGTCACTCCTTTTTTTTTTTTTAAGGGAGTGGGTGTTCCTGTCATATCATGTTTATATTTTACTTGAGATTTGATAGCTGAAAGGGCAGTTATGTTTCATTTGTCTCCCTCTATAGACAGCCCTGGTGGACCTTGTACATTGAGGTAGCTTTGAAAAACCATAGCCAAATGACAAAGCTGATAATGCTGACTTAACATTTACTGGTACACGATCAATGTCCAGCACTGTTCCAAGTGTTTCAAGTGAGTTACCTTATTTAATACTCAACAATCCAATGATGGTTGTCCTAATACTCATATTTTAGGTGTGGAAACTGAAGCATGGAGAAATCAAGAATATTGTCTAAGGTCACAGAGTGAAACTGGTGGAACTCAAGATACAAACTGAGGCAGTCCAGGTCTAAGTTCCTGCTCTTAATCACTAAATGTACACACTGTCCTCTGCAACGGGTATCAACATGGTTATCCAGTTGATTTTCTACCCAGGTGTTAAAAACAATCTAAGGCTAGACTCTACCTGTTTGTAAGAGGGTAAGGAAATGTCTCTTCTCTGAAGCACCCATTCTATTCCTTCCAATACTGGAAAGGATCCACAGGTAACAAAACCCAAAATCACTAACTGTCCAACTCTATCACCCTGGATTCTGCTACAACTCTACTTGTCCCTTCGTTCCTGGAGTCTGTCTAGATATACCATGCTAAAGGATCAGGCAACCTCCTGAATATCCCTAACAAATAGATGTGTGAATGTGGGCATGGTGGCAGCTGGAATAAATGCTCAACCTTTTGTCCCATCTTTTGGATAATTGCCAGACTCTAACCTCTACTTCTGATTTTCTTTTTCTTTTCTTTTTGTCAGTCATGGGGCTTGAACTCTGGGCCCGAACACTGTCCCTCAGCTATTCAGATCAAGGTTAGTGCTCTACCACTTGAGCCACTGTGCCACTTCCGGTTTTCTGAGTGGTTTATTGGAGATAAAAATCTCACAGAGTTTCCTGCTGGGCTAGCTTTGAACTGAGATCCTCAGATCTCAACTTCCTGAGTAGCTAGGTTTACAGGCATGAGCCACTGGTGCCTAACATGGTTTCTTTTTTGTCCAAGTGTTGCCTTCCCTTAGGAGCCCTGGAAGAGGGCTTTGACAGTCAACAATGAATTGGCCAAGGATAGTGTAGCCTGGAACTACAGGGCACCTGTCCTCTGGATCCTAACCCAAGCACCTCTTGCTAGTGTAAGGAGGAGAAGCAGGGTACACATATTCAGACTGAACACAGAAGCAAAATATAGGAATGACCAGGGGGAGGCCCAGTGGGTGTGGGGGGTGAGGGTGTCAACTGAAACAGATACCCTTTGCACTTCCTGCTATTCTCTCCATTTCCTGTGGCCCAGAATTTGATGAGGTGGAGAGAATTATGCCAAGTCAGCAGGCTCTCTTTGGTCCATCTGTCCCCCCTCCCTGACCCACAGAACGGAAATTGGGGGCCTTCCTCAACTCAGTTACTTCGCCTTTTTCTGGGGTGCTTAAATCCTCATCCAGGATGCCACTCTTCCCTCTATTTTTCTTACATACTGGTTATTTTGAAGCTTAAAAAACCTGGGTTCTCCTACTCATGCATTTGGGGGGGGTAGGATGGATAATGATGTTCAGCTGAACAAGTGAACACTGAAGACCAAGCCGCTATTCCTGATCACCTCTGGGTTGAGGGATACAACCTTTTCTTCTTTTGCTCGAATTCCCCTAGAACTCAAGGCATTCACCCCCTTTCCCCTAAGGGGTGTTGGGTCACAACAGGAAGCTGAGCTTGCTGGAGACCAAAAAAGAGAACTCGGGGTGTCAGTGGAAGGAAAGCGCCTCGATTGCACAGAAAACATCCGGGGAGTGGAGGCGTGCTCAGGGCAGATATTGTCTCCTCCCCCACCCCCAGCCCCCCAGGAGGGGTATAGGGACCAATTTCAGAGAGGGTCGCTATGCACTGTACTCTCTTCAAGATGAGGCTGTTGCTCCTAGCAACCCCAAAGGAAGGCAGAAGTTTAGAAGCCAGAGCCACCTGGCCCTCGGGACAGGTGGGGGCACCAGGCCTGCCTGTGGGGTACTGGGCAGGAGGCTTTCTATTGGTTAGGCACGGATCTGAGGGACTGCCCTCCCAGCATCCAGTCTCCCCGTACCCAGTCCCTCGGGTCAGCCACCTGCTCCTTCCTCCGCCCCTGCATCGCAGCCTGCAAGGGAGAACCCAGCTGTCTCACCCTTCTATTCCTACGAGAACCCCCAACGCCGGCTTCCAGATCCCCTTCGGGCCTCGCCTTCTGCAGGAGTCCGAGCACGCGCCCCCACCACCCATTATCCTCAAGGACCTGGGCTGGCGGCCCTGGATGGCTGCCCCCTAAGGATCCGGGCGTCCAGCCCCCCGATTCCCCAGTGCCCTTGCCTGGGCATCACCCCAGCGCCCGCAGTGGCCTGCCGCTGCCCGCGCCCCGCGGCGTGGTTCCACCTCCCTTACCTGGTCCCGGGTTTCTCCCCCATGGTGCGCGCGCGCCCGCCGCCCGCCCGGATCGCGGCTGGCTCGCAAGCCTCCCAGCCCGCTGCCAGGTCCCTGCTCCTCCCCACGCCACTGCGCACGCGCACCCTCGCTCTTTCTCCTCCCCCCCCTCTCACTCTCTCGCTCACTCCCTCTACTTTGGGGCCTTGGCGGGGGTGAGGGGAGGGAGCCGGGCGGAGCCGGGCCGCGGAGGTAGCGGTCCCGGGGAGGTGCTTCTCCCCGACGAGCCGCCCCGAGTGCAGAAAGTACAGGTAAAAGTCGGCGCCGGACGCGCCGGGAATGCGGGGC